TTCAAGGGTTCTGCTGAACAGACTAGTACCCCCCATCACAGAACAACACCTACCAGAGAGTCAGTGTGGCTTCAGAACCAACAGAAGCACAACAGACATGGTGTTTGTTCTCTGGCAGCTGCAGGAGAAATCTCTGGAAGAAAACAAGGGGCTGTATGTGGCATTCATTGATCTGTCAAAAGCATTTGACACAGTGAGCAGAAAAGGAATGTGGCAGATCATGGGGTGACTCGGCTCTAATCCAAAGTTTCTGAACATGATCATCCAGCTGCATGAGGATCAACATGGCCAAGTTAGACACAGCGGTGATCTTGATCACCAACAGCGTAAAGCAGGCTTGCATTCTGGCACGAACTCTCTTCACTATCTTCTTCAGCATGATGCTCAAAAAAGCCATGAAATATCTTGATGATGGGGACAGAGTTTACACCAGATACCATCTTTATGGTGGCTTGTTTAATCTACGACAATTAAAAGCCCACACAAAGACCCTGGAGCAACTTATCCAATACCTCTGCTTTACTGACAATGCTGTCTTTATTGCCCACATAGAAGGAGCTTTGCAGCAGACCACTTCCTGCTTCACAGATGCTGCCAAACTTTTTGGGCTTGAAGTCAATTTAAAGAAGACAGAGATACTCTACCAGTCAGTGCCTCGAAATGGGTATCACCCTCCCCACATCATCATTGGTGCAACTGAGCTGAAGGCAGTCCATCGATTTACCTCCATTGGATGTACCATCATGTCAGATGCTGGGATTGGCAAGGAGATCGACAACAGACAGGTGAAAGCAAACATTGCATTTGGCAGACTGTAGAAACATGTGTAGTAAAACAGAAACCTAAAGAAGGGCACTAAGATCAGGGTGTAGAGATCATCATTTCCACTCTTCTATGTAACGCAGAGTCATGGGTTACTTACTGGCACCACCTGCGACACCTTGAACAGTTCCACCAGCACTGTCTCCATAGAATCCTTAACATCCACTGGAGAGACTTCATCAACAATATTGAAGTCTTTGAAAAGTCAAAGATCACCAGCATTGAGGCCATGCTGCTGAAGTCCCAGTTATGCTGAGCTGAACACATGATGGAGAATCATCGCCTGTCTAAAATTTTATTGTACGGCGAACTCTCCACTGGCTATCATGGCAGAGGGGCACCAAAGAAGCGATTCAAAGATTGTCTAAAAAAATCATTTGGTGCCAGTCACATCAACCTTTGCAAATGGTCGGCACTAGCTGATAACCATGTCACCTGGCATTTCACCACTAACCATGCTGTCTCCTTCTTTGAAAATACCAGCAGGGCCACTCTCAGGGACAAGAGGCAGAGGAGGAAGTACCGCAACTCTATGCCATTGAGCTCAGGCTGGACTTTCAGCTGCAACTACTGCAACCGTGTATGCCTGTCCCACATTGAACTTATCGGTCACAAACGTGCTTGCAAGTGACATATACAGACTCCCTCCTGATCTTCATTTTATGAAGCCAAGCCATGATGATGATGATATATATATATATATATATATATATATATATATATATATATATATATATATATATATATATGAAGTATTTGGAAAAACAAGTTCAGATGAAAATCAAAGGCAAAAAGAGGAGGTTGATAGGAGCTGGTCAAGGTATGACCAAAACAATTGGCTGAATCACCAAAAAACAACTGAACTACACACAAAATTCATTTAACCAGAAGGGCCAGGTTCAAAAGATGAAAAATAGAGCAACACATACACTCAAACAAACTTCTGTCAAGGAAAATAACTGAAATTTATGATAACAACCAAGATGTGTATCCCAATGTGTATGCTGCATCATTAAAAGAATACACACTGGGTCCATTTGCAGGTTTCACATTGTCAACAATGATAAAACAGCCCTGAATTATCACTGGATAATGTTTATTGTTCAGCCAGGACAACAATCACTTAAATGCATATGTTTAAGTTACACAAAATTGAAAAGGTCCTTCAACTGTGAGTAGTGTCCTGACATTAAATCCACTTTTATTTCTATACAGGCTTATATAGAAGACCCAAAAGTGCTGCCCCCATAAACATGTCGTCCAGTGTGGACCACTAACCACCTCACCTTTCTTGTTACACTATTGAAGACAAGTTATGATATTACACACACACACGCACAAACTGGGGTGGGGGAGTTGCAAAATGTTCTCAGCCTAACCAAAATCTGATGTTTAGTCATTTGGTCATCTGAGAACTTTTTGTCAGTCTTTCTGTGATTGTCTAATAAAATAGCCTATATATATATCTAAGCAAGATCCTTTAATGAAATCTCTTCTATTACTGATAAAAAGCATTTCTGTTTCATGATGGAAGAAATATTTTTGGCTAGATTATTTGTCAAAATTTAATATGTGATACTAACAGTGGTTCGAGATATAAAATTTCCATTTTGAAGGACAACCTCTTATTGAGTTGTTAAGAAATTGTACTTTGAGATAAAAAAAACTTTCAACTGCCTTAAATTTATGACAAAATGTCACATTAAATATAAAGTGGATAAAAAAAAATGAAAGAATTGGTAAGGACTGTTGAAATGGAATAGAATAGAAAATGAATTCTACATATTGAATATTGACATTTCTTTTTGATGTGGCTTGAAACGGCGTAAATCAAATTCATACTTAAACCTTAGTCTTTATTTGTGTCTAGATAGTCTTATTTTTTTAGTTGTTTCATCTTAAATTTTGATGCATTTAATTAACTAAGGACCTTAATTTTTAATGAAGTCAGATGGACACCTAGATGTGAACAGAGGATGTGCAGGTGGTGTAATAGATATGGATCAGAATGAGAAATCTGAGTCTTCTTCAGTACATTCATTTATATGCAAATAACCTTGGGAAATGTATGAATCCATCTCTTCCCCTTAGCTATGGATTAAATAGTAGGAGTTTTATCTAAAAAAAAATCACTGTTATTCTCAAAGGATTTTTTAATGCAATGTTGATTCACAAAAAAATAAATTATTCTTACAATCCAAAATATGTTTTGGCTTTAAATAACACAAATGCTTGATAAGCTGTAAAAATACAAATCAGTTGTGTGAAAGTGAGTTATTTAGCTGGTCAATCAAATAAGTATTACTCTGTAATGTGTTTGATCCTCACTAAGTGTCCTATATGGTCTTGGGCTAGACTAAGCTAAGCTTATTAAATTTTTAATGAAGTTAGATTTTGTGAGTACAGGTAGTCATCAACTTATGACATATGTAACTTACGATGGTTTGTCTTTGATGATGACATGTGTGGCTAAAACTCATACATCTGAAAAGTGAAAGTAAGCAAGCACATTGAGTGTGTTACATATGAGAGTTTCCGCACAGCCACCTAGATACAGTAGTGACCCATTACAGAACAGTCGAGTTATATCAATGTCTTCTAAAATTTCTTTCAAAATACCCCACAATGTCTTCCAAGAGGAAATTATCTCTGCTTACTCTTAAGCCTGCCAAGAAGGAAAGAAAGGCAATTGATCTGGACATCAAAATGACGGTTATTAAAAAGTACGAAGGAGGAAACAAAGTTAGTGTGCTCACATGTGAGACAAACTTATCCCATTCAACCGTGTTGATGATTCTTAAGGATAAAGAAAGGATCCATGAAGCCGTGAAAGGTTCAGCCCCCATGCATTCTACCATTAGTATGAAACAATGTACTGGGCCATAAAATGGAGAAATTACTTCATGTTTGGATCGAAGACTAAATTCAAAAAATGATACCAGTAAGCCTTTATACTGTCCAGACAAAGGCAGGAAGTTTATTTAAGATGTTAAAAGAACGTGCTGGAGATTAATATACACAAGAGTTTGTGGCAAGTACTGGGTAGTTCAAGTGGTTCAAGCTATGGTTCCAATTGCATAATGTTTGTGTGACTGGAGAAGCAAGTGAGCGCAGATGAGGAAGAAGCATGTAACTTTGTTAACAATCTTGATGAAATAATTAGGGAAGAGGGTTATTGTACAGAACTGATTTTTAATGTGGATGAAACAGGATTATTTTGGAAACAGATGCCAGCATACACTTACATCCACAAAGAAGCAAAAAGCATGTCTGGGTTTAAAGCCTTCAAGGACAGGCTAATGCTTCTGCTTGGTGTGAACATCGCAGGGTTCAAGCTTAAATCTTTTGTTATCTAACACAATAAAAACCCGTGAGCATTCAAGCACATTAGCAAGCACACTTTGCCAGTCCACTATTGTTCAAACCATAAAGCATGAATGGCCCAGAGACTGTTTGAAGACTGGTTAATTAATTGTTTTATTCCTCAAGTGCATGAGTATTGTCTAGAGAGAGGAATTCCGTTCAAGATTTTACTGCTGCTTGATAATGCACCCAGACATCCCATGTATTTAAATGATCTCCATCCCAATGTGAAAGTGGTTTTTGGACCCCAAATGATAGAAGAAGAAAAAAATCGTGGAAGAAGAAAGGAAAGAGGCCAAGAAAGAGAAGTCACAATGGATATTCACAAGTAAGGGGTTATCATAAAGGTTCTCACAACTCAATAAATCCTTTGCACAATTTGAAACAATGGACCCAAACATTGAACAATTTGCAAGGATTGAATGGATAATACATGATGTAATTTCTCCATATCATGTAATTTATGACATAGAAAAAACAGAAGATTCAGTTTATTAAAGTCATATCTCTTTCTAATAATAGATGTTAAAAGAATAAAAACAATGAGAGAGAAGAAAACAATAAATGATGATAGAGAAAAAAGAGAGCCACAGAAAAGGGTAGATGAAGAGTGAGAAAGAAGAAGAAGAAGAAGAGTTAAATAAAAATATTATTATCATTATAGTATCATGACACACCATACTATATGCATGGTAATTTAACATTGTGCGACTTACAACAACCCATCTTATGTTGGGTCTGTCAGAACCAAATGCCGTCGTAAGTCAATGACTACCTGTATTTTTTTTTTAAATGTTTTTCTTTTTTCTTTTTAGGTCTGTCACCAAGAAAGAATCACGTATTGTTCCTCAGTTGTATCAACTCAGGAGAACTTTGTCCTCTTTTAGTATACGAAAAGCAACCAAGTTACGAAAACGGTTATTCCAACTGCACAAGAAAAAAGAAACAGAAAAATCTAGTCCCTCCTTTCTAGATAATTCCCAACATGATTCAGGTGAGTTGGATAAAGTAAAAACATAATAAACAGTATTTTTCTTTTTCATTTCTTTTTTTCCATTCATTTTTTCATTTTTTCATATCAAATTCATTTTTTTTATTGTTTTGTTTTTTACCAAATTTTCATGTGTAAATGCAAAAACATAAGCGTTTATTTACTTTGCTTTCTTTTTTTGTGATTCATTTTTAATGTTTTTTGTGAAATTGTATTTTTAGTATTTTTTTAACCATTAATTAGTCATTACTAAATTTTAGCTAATAATCTTTTTTATTTTTCTCAAATTGTTTTCTATTTTTAACCATTAATTTTTAATCATTAATTCCTCATGTTTTTGTCGGATTTTTAATTTTTCTAATCTATTAATTTTTAGCTATTAATTCTTTTTAACGTTTCATTTTTCACATTCTTGTCAAATTGTTTTATATTGTTTTAGCCATTAATTTTTTGCCACTAATCTTTAGCCATTATTTTTTGCCATTAATTTTTCATCTTCAAAGGCAAAGCATAAGTGCTTATTTACTTAGCTTTCTGGGTTTTTTTTAACCATCACTGCATTAATGAAAGAGTTAAATGTTTTCCTTTGACACTGTATTGTATCTTCTGTGAGCAAAATACAAAATGTATCATCCATCATCACTATCCTCTTCTAAAATACCAACAGGATGCAACAACTCTTATCCCATTTTACCTTTAAAAGGACCTTAAATCATAAAGAAATTTTATTGACAATTTTAATTGTATTTAACTATTATTCATTTTTTTAAAACATTCAGAATTATTTGTCCACAACACTGACCAAATTTTACATCTTTGGATTATCATTCATTAGTCTTTATAGAATTTTTTAATGAAAAATTACATTTCCTTGGGAGATGACAAAAAGCACTGAAAGCAAGTCTTTGCACAGAAAAATAAAAAAAATCCAGAAAGATGGAAATTATAAAGTTACCTTAAAGAGGGCATGAGATAGTGAAACAAAATGGTAGATATACTGACAAAAAATAAAACTGCAACACCCAGAGTTCATTTCAATTTACTCAAGATTAAACATATGACTAATACTGCTAGGTTATAGTAAATGATCATATATATATATATATATATATATATATATATATATATATATATATATATACACGCACATACCTACAGGGTGTGATGGGGAAATTGTTGCCTTCTATATTTTTAATTTCGTGTATATGTGTTGTTTGTTTTTGATTTTGTAAACTGCACAGTATAGTAGGGTCAGTCGGGCAGCATCCGTAAGAAAAAGAGCACCATGACACAATTCACTCTGCCAGAAATTTGGAAATGGCATGCATTATTGCTTAGCTTTTGCACTGTTAGCTCCAATACAAATATTTCAGAGTGTTTGGGTGTCAATCTGAGGACAGTGCAGAGGATTCAGAAAGAGTTAGATGATATATCCAGTTAACACCACAGTGTTTGGCGTGATCACTAGTAATGGCAACATTATGCCTCCATTCATCTTCCCACAGGGCTTCAGACTCAACACAAAGGCCTACATCAAGTGCCTTGTGGAGGTAGTGCTGCCCTGGGTCAAGAGGGTGGCTGCTGGAAGAACCTATGTCTGACAATAGGACTCTGCACCATGCCACACAAGCAGGAGAACCCAGTCATGGCTGTCAGACAATTACTGCAACCATGTCACTCCTTACACTGGCCACCTAACACCCCTTGATTATTATGTATGGGGCACAGTTGAGCAAGAGACCAACAAAACTCCTTGTAACACCAAAGATGAAATGAAGGCAAGTATTATGGCAGCATTCACCAACTTAATCAAGGAGACCATCCAGAAGAGATGCAGGAGATTCTGATGTTGTCTGATGTGTGATGTGTTATTCTGTGCCTCTTGCCTCTGTTGATGAAATAAAGTGAGAATTGTACATAGGCAAGATTTCTTTTTGTTCTAGTATACCTATGGACAATAATGGATATGTCCCCATTCATATAAATACAGTAGTAAATACTGTATGTTGGTCTGCAGTTGGAGATTCATTGACTCACTTCTAGCAGTTGACTACTACTTCTACATGCCACTGGCGAATCTTATATGTGTTGTTCATGTCCTAAGTATTATCCTTCATTATCAACATTCATGTGATTATTCTATTCAGTAACCTTCCTTTGGTTACAACACTTTCTTACAGATGCAATGTTACAAACCTATTCTCTATTAATAGCAAATCTTCAAATAAATTCCATTCTTTAGTGCCACCATTTCATACATTTACGACAGCCAAAAGCCACTTTGCTTCATCCACTGGGTTGAATCACCCCCATTCCCTACATATTTAATTGGTGAGAAAGGTGTTCCACTCAGACAGCTTCTTCCCAGGAATTGTTGTTTTACAAAACAAACTTCTATATAGAGGCATTCCTGAATACTACAGTCTACCGCTTATGTTCATATCATATACCTCATTCGGTAACCGTCTACCTTGGATAGCTCTTGAGCCTTGTATTGAGGGAACATTAATATAAAACAAGAATACATATTGAATGAGAGATAGGTGTGGCAATTATACTGCTCATGGAAATTGTCAAATATCTTGCAGAGCATGTTGACATCACGTGGGCTGGCATTATCCTGCTGGAACAGCACATCATTTCCTTGTTGTAGGAATGTCAGCATAATGGGTTCAACAATGTTCTGGCACTGTTCAACATTCCCTCCACAAGCACCAAATGCAAGCAAATGACATCCCACACCAAGAGTTGGGCCTGTATGTTGTGGGTGAATACACTCTCCAGGTCAGCATCATATGATCATCACTTAAATGAAGGCAGAAATTGCTCTTGTTGCTGAACACTACAATCACCTACTTTGTGGAACCAACTCCCTAGAGGATGCTCCCCAATCACTACAATCTTAACCACATATCCTCATAACCTCTACTTCTTATCTCTTACTCTGCAACTCTCTACCTTGAGTGGATCTTAGGCCTTGTACAGGGTGAACATAGTTTAAAAAAAAAGGAAGCTTAATTTGATACACACTTGATGATCCTCTTGTGACATCCTTTGAGATGTGCACAATGGGGATATGATGTAAGTAGATGCCTAGCTAGAGTCATGTATATCCATTCCTATTACTAATAAACTATTCCCAAATGTCCATGTCAAGACACCTGACACCAAATTTGTTGTGGATGCTATGTAGTCTGCTACTGTTGCTCTCATAAGGCATCAATCTTGGGAAGAGTCTACTATATTGCCATCCAGGACCTGGTTTACACTTGTAAGAATACTCATTTGATGACTGGTGCCAGCATTAAAGCATCACCACCAATACATCCCATACAATATATGCAGCAGTTCTCTGAAATGATTATCCAACCTGTCAAACCCCCATGATCTGATCCCTCTCAAATGGCTAATTGAATAAAAGCAATGTATGTGCTTCTCTGTGATATGATACATGCAATAAACCTTATTACATCATAGCTTAAAGTTCAGGCATAGACATTATATTGGCAAGTGTTGATAATAGTAATATTGGCTGTTTCCTTATGACAAAACATTTGGCATTCATTGACCATACAGCTAGTGCTACTTTGATAGTCTGACTAGAGACTCATATATCTGTAGTCAAGATTGCCAATGGCTCATGTGGGAGCTACATTGACTTTGATCTGTGATGTGGATTCTATGCAGTCTTTCACTGCTGATGAGCATCTGTACTATGTGGCCATCCAGAACCTGATCTACAGATGCAGGAATATTCAATTGACCACTGTTGCCAACATCAAAATACTGCTGATATGTCACACCCAGCATGCACCACAATTCTCCAAAATGAGTTGGAAGCTATGTAGTTTGCCACTGTTGCTCTTATCAGGCATTAATCATGGTAAGAGTCTCTAGTATATTGCTGTCCAGAACCTGGTCTACAGGTGCAGGAATATTCATTTGTCCACTGTTGCCAAAAACAAAACACTATTGATATGTCACATCCAACATGCACCAAAAGGTGTTGAATTTTGGCCATTCAATTGAATATAGTCCTGCAATTTTATTTTTTTACTCTGTGGTAATATATTATATCTAATTCAAAATGTACAATAATAAAAAACATGAGCTTTATTATTTCTTTGATTGCATGATAACAGAATTAACACCATATTCCTTTCAGCCAATCCAACTGCTAAAAAAATGACATTACATAATGTCAGTAATAAAAATAAATATTTTAAAAATATCTGTCCTACTTTAGGTTACATAATACCTATTATAAATTAAATACTGGCTACTGTCAAGTGAATTAAATTGTTGAATGTACCAATTTATATCTATAAACAAATTCTTAGTTTTGATAAGTAGCCAATATTGTAATTTGAAGTATGCACAGGTAGTGTAATGATTGGTGACTAAGAAATCAGCAAGCCAGGTTCAAATTCTAGTCAAGTTTGTTATATTCACTTTAAGTCAAATATCCTTGGGAAAGGTATGAATCCATCCCCACTACCCGCTGGGTTTTTCAGCCTTAGTTGGCAACCAGTTTATGAGAAGGAGAATTCTTGCAAAAACTTACTTGCTATGAGAACCAAATGCCAAGCATTTTGAGAGCTATGATTACATACACCTCACTGGAGTCTATAGGTCTTGAATGAATGTTTGTAAAACTTTACCAGAGATTAAAACAAGATTCCAATATCACTCAGTCTAAATAAAATAATTGCATTAGTTTGAAGTACATTGGTTCACTATCTATAGAATTAAGCTGAAGAAACTCAACTGTAAAGCAGAGAACATTTAAGTTTTTGTTATTTTTCAAAATTAGCTACAAGCAGTCTTAGTTTTATAGTCTTCATAGCCTTCCATAGTTTTTAGCTTTAACGGTTTGGCCTAAATATTTATAATTGCATTATGGATAAGGGCGTGAGTGGTCACTTTAAAAATGTGTCCTTTTATTTGTACCTTTATCATTATTAACGGCCAATACTTCCCTCCACTTTTTTTTTTTTTTTTAC